CGATACTTACGGCACATGGTTATTAAATCGATTGGACCACCAATAATATTGGTCTCTTAGGGGCTTTCCTTCCTCCCCTTCAAAGCGTATGAAACAAGACCATTGTTTAAGCATTATTATTGGCTAGCCAACAACACTGGTCAAGCATTATTATTGGCTGGCCAATCAGAGCAGTGTAATTGCGGTTTGCACCCCTATAAAAGGAGTTGCCGAAAGAGCAAAAGAGCAACATAATCGGTCGGACGACAGATGACTACAGACAAAGGCATCTGTGAGGCCTTCCGGTGTTATTTGTGCAAGCTTTTCACCAGAGATCCCGGACTAAATTCCGCACAGTTCGACACCTATTTCGCTGACTTACCCTGTCTCAAGACGGGAAGTGCTGAAGCAGATTGGCCGAGACAAGACTCCGGGGATAGACGGTTTTCCTTACAAGGTGTACTTGAGGTTGTCACCGTGTTTGTTCCTCTGTTCCTGAGTTGAAGATTTTGGCAAAGATTTTCAGCTTGTCCTAACTAGTCTGATTGGCAGGGCTATTCAGGACGACCTCCATTTGGTTCGTCAGATCATCATAAAATGTCGGTGAAGCGTTCGATAGGGTAGACCGTAGTTTTCTTGAGGCTGTCCTCGCGTCTGCCGGTTTCGGGCCTCACTTTCGCTCCTGGATTCGTCTCCTGTACAAGTCCCCGAGGGCACTAGTGGAAGTAAACGGGATAAATCACCTTGTTTTGCTCTATTTGTCAGGGTTATCTGTTTTCGCCTATGCTTTATGTATTTGCATTGGAGTTCTTCCTGCGCAAGTTAAAGGCGAACCCGGTCCTTCACGGAATCTTGTTGCTTGGTGTCACTAACTCGGCCAGTCATTCCGCAAAGACATTTGTAGGTACGGGAGGATGGTGGGGGCCAATAATGCAATTCCGATGTCTGTTGCCTTACGGTTGGGAGAATGGGAGTTGCTCTCCCCGTATCCTTCGTTGGTCGGACGGGGCGATCAAGATACTCGGTGTCTGGTTCGGTCCCAGCCTTCAGCTGGACACGAACTGATCGGAGGTTCGAAAGAAGGTCGAGGAAGCAGTGCGTCTGTGGACTCGAAAGTATCTTTCCTTGAAGGGGATGGTGGGAACGTGTGTTTCGTACATCTACCAAATTCTCTTTTAACGCCTCTCTGTTTTTCCACTCCCGTCTGCCGAACGAAAGGATTTCGTTGGAGACTTGTTCAATTTTCTCTAGAGAAACAACTCTCCCTTGGTACATCGAGAGGTCTGCTGCCTCCATCCTGCCGAAGGCGGTTTGGGAATCCCGAGCCTTGAGACGCATCAACATACGCTCCACTTGAATTTCCTTGAACGGATGTAAACGCAAAAGGTCGGTGACGGCGAATTCTGGAAGGAAGACACCCGCTGATCTTTCCCGTCCTTGGAAAGTGTGGATGCGGACGAGGTGGAGGTATACCGATCATCCCGAAACGAATTCTTCTTTAACTAAATGTCGAATCGCGTTGCATCTTAAGGGTGAATGCTCGCCATTGTGATACCCAGGCGTTGTCTGTGAAGGCGTTGTATCGAGTAATAGTGAGGGGTGCCGCTAAAGACAAAATCTCGGACGAGTTCGGCCTTACGAGTCGGGAGTTTATCGCTCTGTATCACCTTATGCGCCCGGTTTGAGTTGTCTTTATAACGACGAGGCATCACTCACCTGGCTGGTATTGCGAGAGGCCTCGGGGCTGGCGATTTTGTCCGAGTGTGAGCGCTGTGGTGATTTCTTTTCCTACGGTGGCGTGTGCCCGTTGTGCAGGCTGTTTGAAGGTTACACAGTTCGTGTCTAGGTCGGAAGGTTTTTGTTTTTGATCCTCGAAGCCAGTTCCATCTGTGCCAATGTGGTACAGTCATTGAAACGGATCACCACTACGTGTCTGCTCGGCATTATGCGAAAGGTGAAGTGGACGACGAGACAGAAGGAATTTCAGGGAGGTGAGAAGTTCTCTTCTCAGCTGGTCGCTTTCTTTAAGCATCAGCTTAGTTAAGATCAGGGCGGAAAGAGTGCGACTCTCTTTGTCAAAATTCGGCAAAAGGTGCGTGAGAGTTTCGCACTTGGTGCGAGTGAGAGATGCTGATCTTGAGTGGTTGTTGGATGCTATTTAGGAAAGAGGATTTTGGTCTTCTAACCGAATCATCATTCACCCCAGCTCTTATTAGAGGTAAGTTAGTACATTTTGATTTTGTTTTGTCCTCTTTGGGGCATTTTCCCCCTTTAAACTTATCTAGTGTATGCAAGTATATACGGCTACCCATTTTTCCCCTTCCATTTTCGCTTCTTATTTTCAACTCCTCCTTCTTTTAGGTGACAGATGTATTTGTTCTTTGGCGAGATCAGATAGTCTTCGAGTCTGTCTTTTTTACCCAGTTAACCGAAATCGTTTGCTTTCTACGTGGGGTCCTAATATTGTTTTATTTAGTTTCTAGCACATGTATATTTTTCTTATTGTATATAATCATTGGGTTTTCGCCGCTAGTAGACCAACACTGTCACTGCCCAATGACAGTGGTGCCTCACCTGTTGAAATCTCGCGATCAGCTATACATTTCTTTTTAAATAATATTACCAGCAATACATTTTTAAATAATATTACCAGCTATACATTTTTAAATAATATTACCAGCTATACATTTTTAAATAATATTACCAGCAATACATTTTTTAAAATAATATTACCAGCAATACATTTTTTAAAATAATATTACCAGCAATACATTTTTAAATAATATTACCAGCTATACATTTTAAATAATATTACCAGCAATACATTTTTTAAAATAATATTACCAGCAATACATTTTTTAAAATAATATTACCAGCAATACATTTTTAAATAATATTACCAGCTATACATTTTTAAATAATATTACCAGCAATACATTTTTTAAAATAATATTACCAGCAATACATTTTTTAAAATAATATTACCAGCAATACATTTTTAAATAATATTACCAGCTATACATTTTTAAATAATATTACCAGCAATACATTTTTTTTGTAAAATTAATAATACACCCAGCAATACATTTTAAATAATATTACCAGCTATACATTTTAAATAATATTACCAACAATACATTTTTTAAAATAATATTACCAGCAATACATTTTTTTTTTTTTTAAATAATATTACCAGCAATACATTTTTAAATAATATTACCAACTATACATTTTAAATAATATTACCAGCTATACATTTTTTAAATAATATTACCAGCAATACATTTTTTTTTTTAAATAATATTACCAACAATACATTTTTAAATAATAATACCAGCAATACATTTTTTAAAATAATATTACCAGCAATACATTTTTTTTTGTTTTTTTAAATAATATTTTACATTTTTAAAATAATATTACCAGCAATACATTTTTTTTTTAAATAATATTACCAGCAATACATTTTTTAAAATAATATTACCAGCAATACATTTTTAAATAATATTACCAGCAATATTTTTTAAAATAATATTACCAACAATACATTTTTAAAAATAATATTACCAGCAATACATTTTTAAAATAATATTACCAGCTATACATTTTTGCAATACATTTTTAAAAATATTACCAGCAATACATTTTTAAAATAATATTACCAGCAATACATTTTTAAAAATAATATTACCAGCAATACATTTTAAATAATATTACCAGCTATACATTTTTTAAATAATATTACCAGCTATACATTTTTTTAAATAATATTACCAGCAATACATTTTTAAATAATATTACCAGCTATACATTTTTTAAATAATATTACCAGCTATACATTTTTTAAAATAATATTACCAGCAATACATTTTTTAAATAATATTACCAGGTATACTTTTTTTGAAATAATATTACCAGCAATACATTTTTTTAAATAATATTACAATGAATACGTTTTTTATAATAATATTACCAGCTATAGATTTTTGAGGAAAAAACAATATTAACAGAAATAGATTTTTGACAAAACAAAAATATTACCAGGAAAAAAAAGTTGTCATTAAATGACCCATTGAGGTTGATATGCCGTTAAACAAAACAAAACAAACATAAATAAAGTTGTTATTTTTACACTTGTTAATGAGTGTTGTTGGAATTAATTATGTTTACTGGTGACACCGGTGTCTTTAGACTTTCAAAAGCATAGCTAGGACGGAGATGAGTCAAGCTTGATCCTCGACAGTTCTTCACCGACATTCTTGCGGATAGTAAAACACAAAAACGCAACGTGGAGACGCAGGATTAGTGGAGAATGGAGACGGACCAACGGACAAAATTAGGTGCAGCATTCAGATAAGCACGCAGCAACAGGGCCACAGAAATAACGAAAAGACAACATTTATTGAGAGCTACAAAGGGCAGGAAATTCTGAAGAGCCATGATCGCATACGTCGTGCGGAGGGACATAGCACAAATGATTTGTTCACTTCGATGACTGCTGTTGAATTCTGGGAAGAAGTCAGTGATTTTATTCGAAATGAATCTATGAGAAAATGCTTGGTTACACACATTTTCGCAGGTATATCATAGTTTTAAATCAAGTATATAATTGCCCGAAAATCTCTAAATGAAAAACAATTGATGCATATTGACATTTTATATTAAGATTCACTCAATTCAAGGTTTGAGAACCACTAAGGTAGAAGATTACTGTTAAAGTTGTTATGATGGATGATGTGATGTGATTGATTGACTGATTTATTTTTTACGGCTTATCAACCTTTTTAAGTGTTAAAGATATTTAAAGCCAAAACATATTTTTGGATTGTAAGAATTCTTTGGAGATAATAATTTTCTGATACAACTCTTATTGTTTGATCCATAGCTGGGAGGAGAAGAGATGTATTTATAGATTTCCTAAGGTTATTTATACGTAAGTAACGAACCCGACTGGAGTTCGAACACGGCCCTCCGATTTTTCATTTGGAGCCGTTATCTATTAGAACACCCACACATCCAAGCTTACAGCACCTGGTACTCCCGAGCGGTCACCCATCAAGATAATTACCAGGGTTAACGTTGCTTAACTTCGGTGGTCGGATGAGAATAAGTATTTCAGCTAGATGGTGTGTGATAGGGGTGAAAGTGGTGGTGGTTAATAAATGAAGATTTTGAGGATAAGTAGGATAGATAGTGATTGACCTTCGACTTGAAGAGGTCAAAACCGAATTGTTCTGGGAAGCAACCACACGGAAGTCTGTTGCATAGAGTGGAAGTTCTGGGGAACTTTCCTCGACTTTGAAACACGGAGGAATTAAGATTGAATCAAAGATCTGAAATAGTGGAACTAGAAAATAGGGTTGATTTTGCTTTGAATTAGCGGTAGATTAGTGACAGGCCTGTACCGTTTTGACTGGGAAAAGAGAGCCCACGTAAAACGATTTTGAACACTATCAAGGCTGAAAAGTGATGGTTTAACAGCTTCAGCCCAGATATGGTACTCCGACTCCATATTTGGCCTAATGGATTTATTAGAACTATTTTTTTTTATTTTATTGTAGATGTTGTTACAGACACGACGTTTCAGGCAAGTACCATCTGAATATCTTCAGACGTCCATTACTGCAGCTGATATGTGATATCGCATATTTTCATGGTTTTTTTTGTCTATACCGATTCTTGTTTCTCCTGCAAGATAATATTTCACGACCTAACCCAGATAGAAAAATAATATTGAATTCTGAACTACTAGGTGACAGCAACACTTAATTAACCAAGGTCTATATCCTTGTGGGTGACAATATGGTTCAGAAGTGGGGTAGAGGGTGAGACGGCTACACGCATCTATTTTGGGAAGGTAACTAATCAAATAGTGAAATAAAAATTTAGTTTATATTTAACTTGAATAAAGTGTTTATTTCATGTTTATCTGTTTTTACATACTTAAAATGTCTTCCTTTTCTCATATTTCTCAGTACTAGCCACACCTACTTGAGTAGTTGGTCCAGGGCATCACCAAACATCACCAAACGTCTACACGACACTAGTGAGCAATAAATTGTTTCCCAGTCTATTATCTATATTCATGGCTGAGGTTTGGGCGGACTACATTCCTTGGTTCTAGCGGTTTAGACATTCACAGCTTGTACACGCCAGGCAACGTACACTGCGTGGACTCATCTTCATTCATTTCATAGACCATTAGTAAGGGAGAAATTCCACTTAGACAGCATCTTCCAAAGAACGATAGCATTGTGTAACGGACTCTCCAGATCATGCTTTCACGATAACTACAATCTTCAAGTCGACGCCACTGTACCAATGGGAGTCAGGAGATCCTTTCAATCCTATACCCGATGGATTCTATATTTGGTTATCACGGCGGATTTATGGAGTTTGATAATTACATTTTTGATGTTTGAGATGAGGAATTGTGAATATATTGGAGTTATTGGAATTATTTCAACTATTGTATTCTTTTTGATTAATATAGATGTTATTATAAACATAACAAAAAGAAATTAAAATAGTGAATACATGCTTTCGATTCAGTGAAAAAGTGAATTTTATTCTGGATTCATTCCGGTGCCTCTTGTCCGCAGAAAACAAACCGTAACCAAAAAGAGTGATCTATTAATCGAAGTAATATGAAAACACCATATTATTATTTATTAAGACGTTTTTCTCTGGCAATATTATGTTTGCTCCTATCGTTGTAATGTCCTCGACTGGCATAAGTAATATTTAAATATTAAATGATAAATATGGAGGTGATGACTTCATGATCTCTTTTCCAGAACCTATAGTTTTAAGAAATCTATTTCTAATTCTTTTATTCTTTAAAAATAAATTTCCAATTTTGTACTTAATGTGTGCATCTTTTTATCATGGTTAAGGTAAAGATTCAGAATCAGTTGCTTTTTTTTTTATAAAAAGGGAGGAGGAAAGTTTAACCGATTGGCAGATACGATCATAAGATAAAATAATGAACGCTTACCATATATGGTGGAAGGACTTGCTTGTATGCTGAATCAAACAAAACTATTAGTCTCGCGTATCCAAACAAACATAGGGGCATATATATATATGTTAAAGAGCTCAATTAGAAAAAAATCCAATCCAGTCCATAAGACGTTTGGCACGTGAGAGAGGTGTTTCAGCTATGACAATCCAAAGAGCAGTAAAAAAAAAAAAAAAAAAAAAGACTTGAAAATAAAATCGTACGTGAAACGTGTGAGGCACCTTGTTACTCCAAGACAGAAAGTTAAAAGGATAGAGAGGGCGAAGATCAGATTGAATAAGTTGAAAAATGAACCTGGAATGATATATATACATATTTGAACTTTCAATCCTTCATGATCTTTCAAGGATTATCTATGATTAATTAATGATGAACATATCATTTTTGTTTATGATCGATTTCATCACGATACTTCTTTTAAGCTTAGAATGTAATTATACATTCTTACTGCACAAATTCCAGTAACGTTATAAAAACCTCGGAGAATTCCAGTAAGATATCTTTAATCATTTCTAATTTACAAGATTTCTGAGAGCTTAACCTAACGATTATTGGACAATTTTGCTGTTACTCGATTTGTACAATTTTGCCGTTACATATATATATATATATATATATATATATATATATATATATATATATATATGTGTGTGTGTGTGTGTGTGTGTGTGTGTGTGTGAAAGACAACCTTCAGATTGTTGTTAACTGGGGCAAAGGATGGTTTGTTAATTGTAACGTCTTCAAAACAAGGCTGCTTTCTATTAATCATGTGAGAGTCTCCTTTCTACCTTCGATCCGCATGACTGATGTTAACCTTCAGGGGTGTAACTCGCTGCACATTTTCAGCATAGCTGACCTGTGTTTTTGTGTGTAAGCTATTAATCATTCAACTGAAATACAATTCAGTCAAGCGCACGTTAACGTTGAATTTTTGATTCCGGTGCTCAATGTTTTATCAGACCTTTATTACGTTTTTAATGAGATTAGTATTTTCCCTAAGGAGGATCTTTGTTTCAAACCCAGACACGAAGTGGAACTCATATATATGATCTATAACTAAAGACTGTTGAAGAATTATTCGGTTCCCAGTAGCCCTCAATGATGTACCTGACTCCTCCTGTCCTATATGGACAGGAGCTGCATAGTCCTGACTTGCCAGCTTTGATTGTTCCTGAGGGTGATGTATTATTTTCCACCCTTCAAACTGTTTCCTACAGATGCAATGTCATAACCAGCTGCATGTCCTAATTCAACCAGGTGAACTATTTACAACTAAGACCCACCAGGTCGCATCCACAGGGATGAGACGTACGCAGTCTCTCCATATTCCATCGGAAAGGATGAAGTTCCTTTGATCAGCTTCACTTATTTGTAGACCAAGCTCCCGAGAGGATGATTCCCCGATCACAGCAATCTGAAACTTCAAAATTTCTTTCGAACGTTATATGTCCTATATATCCTCATAATCTGCAATTCTTACATACAGAAATCAAGCCACATCAAGTAAACTTCTACTTTGAGTGCTTCTTCGGCTTTATATTGTGTGAATATATATATATATATATATATATATATATATATATATATATATATATATATATATATATATGTATGTCTGTGGGTATGTGAACATGTCGTCACTTCGTATATTTTAAATTTATGACGCACCCACTTCACGTTAAAACACCAGTCCTCGTACGATTTCCGAAGTTAAACAACGTCGAGCCTGGTCATTATCTAGATGGATGGGAATAGTAGGTTGGATGTGTGGGTAGTGTAATGGATAATGGTTCGGAATTGTTAATCGCAGAGTCGAGTTCCAGTTCCTGTTAGGTTCGCTACATTCGCTTAAACGTAAATACTCTTGAGAAATGTATCAATCTACCACATTCCCCCAATTATGGGTTAATTAGTAAGACTTGTATCACTAAACTATTATTATCCTTAACAAATCTTACAATCTAGAAATATTTTCTGGTTTAATTAATATGCAAAGGATTGATAAATAAACGAAATATTCAATTCAAATATATATGTATATCAATTTGAATTTCGAATAATATATTTAATTATAGATTTTGATTTAACAGAAAATATTTCGTTTTCCAAATCGAAATATTCTTAGAGATATAGAAAATGACGATTTTCTTCCAAGTTTAAATATTATACGTATAATTAACTTTATAAGATTTACTTTCATTTCCAGCCGCCGACCATCCTTTTTGTTTCATGCAATATAGTCTGTCCAAACTTGTGAAAACAAATTTTGGGGAAAATAACTAAAATAAAAGTAGAATACAAAAGAAAAGGAAAAGAAAATTGCAAATCGCCAAATTCAATCATCAGCCATTGAATTGTTTTTCACTACCGCCAGAAATATTTTATGTTTTAATTCAGACAATGGTGAAGACTGCCAGGTAGATGTTAGCAGTAAAGAAAAAAATTCTAAACCCACTTATAATGTTACGGCATGAATTCAAAATAGCTTCTTCTGCTACAGAGGTATTTAAAAAACATTTGTCCAGTGTTTGCCGTTAAAGTGAACACTCGTTCATATCAGCTGTTGTTAAAAGATTTAAACAGCGACTATTACAAATAATTATATGGCAAACTATATTTGGAAAAAGACCCACTCTGAATGAAGAACTTTTGGAAGAGACTATTTAATTGGATCCATGTCAAACCTCCAAATATTTGACAAATATTCACTTGTCTACGAATCGTATATTATGCGAATAAGGAAACATAGCAAAGATAGAATTAGGGTTCCTCATGAGCTTTTGCTTAAAACCAAATATAACGTTGTAAACAAAAGACCCAGAACATGTTGAGGAAGAGTGTAGTCATGATATTAAAGACACTAATTGTCAGGAAAACTATCCGGCCATTGTGAAATCTTTCTACAAGAGAGAAAGAAATCTTGGGGGATCGACATAGAAGAGATGTATCTTTCCCGGAAACAAGGAAAATGGCTTATTCCTATTTGAAAGGCCATATCTATGCCAATGTGCTTCAGAAGACGAATCCAGTTGGCTGCAATAATTTTAATAACAAAACAGATACAGAACGCTCATCGAGCTGTTGGTGCTAATGGCAAA